GTAACGCCTCAAAAACCACCTTGGATGGCGTTACAATTTTAAAACTATTCATATCATAAGAGCACTAATATAATCCATAAATAAATAAGACTTCATTCATCCTCCATAAAATATTTACAACATTACCCAAATTGATATGTCGAACCATGACATTTACATCCCAAAAATTTAACAATCATAATGCAGCGGAATTATAAAAGAAGACTAGACTTCAAAATATTTCAAAAATGAATTTCCTAGTCTAGAATAAAGATAATGTTGCGCTAAGCGTCCACCTCGAGATCCACTCCCTTTTATAGGAGTCTTCTAGTGTGTCGGTTCATCCACTCCCAACTCCTCCTCTAGGACATAATCTGAAAAATATTATTTGTAAGGGGTGAGCACTAAGTTCTGCAGCAACATTTCTCCCATATTCGAACAAGGTTTAGAAAAGCATATAAAAACGGTCGGTCACCTTTCACAAATAGCATATATGAATTTTGAAATAAAACATGGACAATTAAACAAATTTCAAGTTTAAGCAACATAAGTAATTTAATACATAAGTGAAACCAATATACAACTAATAATCCATTCCACCATAAACCATTTCTCCCAAGTTCTTGCAAAATCTCATACTTCCCAAGATTCTTGTAGAAACCATTTCTGGTACAATGAACAATAACTCACCACTGTAATATACGACTAATAATTCTTTCTACCATAAATAGTTTCTCTCAAGTTCTTGCGGAATCCCATACTTCCCAAGATTCTTGTAGAAACCATTTCTGGTGCAATGAACAATAACCCACCATTGTATTCGTTTCTCAGGTATTAAGTAAGACCTCGCATGATCACCATCGAAAATATCATGGCCCACGTACAATCCACACAAATCCTCGCAAGGATATCCAACCTTTAGGAAGGGCGTATGCCAATACCATGGCAGTGACGTATCCAACTAAAAAGTAGTATACTTTCAATTTTTTTCATGATAACCCATAAGGTATAATAGTTTAGTCCTCGCAAGGTACTAACCCCATTACGAGTGGTAGGAAAAGTTCTAACCCACACGGAGTAAGAAGGAGTCTACCCACTCTATGATACCCGGTCAATCGTAGCTCATGTTTATCCAATCAACCACACAAGAGATACAATACCAACAATTTCATCAATAACAAACAATTTCCAAGATCCCCAATTCCATGGGTATTTCTAAGAGTACAATTAATTTCAACAATTCCCAAATTTTCACATGTATCATTTCAATAGAACATTGAAGAAAATGCAAGAGATCATTATCAATATCATTTTATTAATCAACACAAAACACTAAGGTTTTGAAATCAAGAACCAAGGAAGAATCAAGAAGAAAATCCATCTCTTTTGAAAACTAGGGTTTTATATCAAGAAAATGAGATTTCATGGGTATTCAACCCTAACTTTTTTTAAAACACACTAATAATTGCAAAAAGACCAAGGAACAAAGAACTCATAGCAAATACATATGATTAGGAGTCAAGAAATACAAATATATTAGCCCTAGTATCAATGAACAAGATTGGAAGAAAACCTCCTACCTTGCTTCCTTAGTTTTGAGCAAAGAAGATGAAGATTTGATCTTTCCAAAACTTGAATCACCCTTTAATCCTTTGCTTTTCCCTTTATTTCTTCCTCTCTAAGCTTTTCTAGGGTTAGAAGTGTTGAAATGGGGCTTAGGGAGGTGCCATTAGATATTTATAGTGGAAGAAATGGTATCTTGTGCACGATTTTTATAGTCAAAATTCGTAATTGATGTTCAAACGTCATTGGCATTCAAACGTCCTTAGCTCCTAGTACTTTGATTTTTCCATCAGACAAAACGTACTGGAACGCACTGTCGTTCGAACGTCATTCTTGTTTCTGCTGAAACTTTCAGTAAAGTTTTGGCCTATTTAGAGGTCGATTTGAAAAATTTTCATGAAATATACTTTTGTAGCTCTAAGTCTACTATCTACTGTCAAATTTTCAGTTCAAATGAAAATCAGGATAAAGAGTTATGATCCAAATACTAGGAAGTATCCAAAATCATTTTTATCCAAATTCTCTCTAAAGTGTGTTTTCATTCCGGAGTACTTTCAAACTTCTACAACATACCCTATTACCTCAACTAGCATTTTTATTTCTACTCTTATAATCTACATAGTTCATGCATACATTATTACATATATTAGCATTTCAAAAACATAATTACGTTCTTATATAAAGATACGAATGTGGGGGTTTACAATTGTATATAACTTAGTTCAAAAGAATTTAAAAGTACTTATAAAAGAGTCCAAATCAAGTTGAAAGTCAAATAAGAGTAAAAAGTAAAAATTAGATGAAAATATATAGGTGAGTTATAATTGAATTTATTACAATATTTAGGATAAAAAAGAAAATCAAAATTTTTTCGCAGATGCTGACTATTATAAGAAATATAGATAGATAGGGAAAATTTCAGTCACAGATCTTCTAGTTTATCATATATTCAAGGACATTTCCTATATTTTCTGAATTTTCACTAGCATGCCTGTCAGATTAAAAGTGTTAGTTAGAATGTAATTTTACTAAATTACTCATGATATATTTTAGGAAAAACTTTATCCACACCTGCTCTAGATGGACATATCATTAATGGGACCCTCTCTATTTTCTTAGTAATACAAGATGGGAAACAACAAGTAAAATATCTTAACACAAAAGCATTTTCTACTATTTCTTAGAATTCATTTCTCATTAAAATGAGCAACAATCTTAACTTGGCTTTGCAACAAGCTTAAAAAGGAGTTTATCAAGCAATCTAGCATTATCTACACAAAGAGGAAATTAATGTGAAATGTGGCTTAGAATAAGTCGCATATAGAATAATTTTGAGATTTGAAAGAACATCATGTTTCCTTGAATATGTATTAAGAAAAAAATTAATTTCCAACATTCTTTCATCATATTTTGTTAAAGCAAATTGTAATACATTTTATCATAGTTGAATTTAATTTTTTTTTGTATCAGTTGATGCACTTATTTTAGTTATATTATGGTCTCTCTAAGCTAGAATTTTGGCTCTGTCCCTACTAGTAATTAATTGGACTTCTTAATCCATTGGTCACACTTGATTTGCTCAAGATTCTGCCAATTAAAAGGTCAAAGTGCCGATCTTTATCAAATGAAAGGCTTATTTCTAATGTGCCCCGATTTGTAGGTTCTAATGTGTCCTCTTCTAGGTTCTCTTCACCCATTTATGAGTACTTTGTCCTCTGTTATAAGTCCATTATTCAAGAATTGTAATTAGTAGTGGTCTATTGACTTACATTAAAAAATAATTTAATATTTTTGTCTGATCAAGAGTTAGCTGACTTGATCTAATAGTATTACTCTATTGGTATTATTGGAATTCTTTACTTAGCCAAATTTTGGTAATTGGGTCCAGTTACAATATGAAAAAGTAACATTTTAGTAGCACACCTCCAGTTTTCATCTAATAAGATTTTGATTTTTTTTTTGGTGGGTGCTATAGGACAAGGGAGGGGGAGTATCGAACTTGAGAGGAATTGTAGAAAAGCAGGTATGATTTGATAAGAGTAATGTTATTATTGTGACTTAATTTTTTTGATAAAATTTGTTGATCCAATAGTGATAGCTCGATATCGTCTAAAAATATTATTGTAATTAGTGCTAATGATTTTTTTATTGTAATCATATTACTTGACATGTCATTAAATTAACAAGTTTAGTCAGATCTTTAAGTATAAAAATTATTACTCATTTGATAAAAAAATTAGGGTGGAAAAAATTATTTTTTCCCTCTTGAGTTCACACTTCTTTAAAAGGACTTATATGAAAATGGATAGTATTTCACAAAGAAACAAGGTAGCAAAAAACTATTCTTTGTTCAGGCATATTTCTCTCTCTCATTGCTACTTTCTGCCTCTGAATGTTGAGTGTTTTTTGTTTACTCTATGACTACTTTTTTGGTGCACCAAAAAAGCTTTTGCTTAGTTCCCCCTCCACTTTGAACATCTTTTGCAAATGTGTTTGAACATCTCTTGTCTCACTTTTGCTTTCTTCATACCAAGTATTGTTAGTAATATATGTAATCAGAATTAGACAATAATTACTCTAGCAAATCTCTATCTATATGTATATTGTTATATGCAAAATAATTATATAAATCAGAATGTAAGAAAATAGAAGTAATGCACTTACTTGAATGCAAAACGACAATAAGAAATAATATGAGCCTTGTGAATCACAGTTTTTTTAAGACAAATTTACTCCCTCTTGGTGTTCAAGGTTAATAAGTAATTGTCTCCCAAGATATAACAAATTTTGTCTTTGAAGAAACAACACTTCAGTCTCCAAAAACTAACGAACTCAACTTGTGTTTGCACTTGAACTGACAAAAATGTAAATGCAGAAAGAGAGATAACGAATGTAGTATGCAGGAATTTTCTATGTATGAAAATGAGTTCAAGGGAATCCTTTCATAGACTCTTTTGTGTCTATTCGGATTGCTTGAAGAGACACGAGACACCACTGCTCAATGAATAGTCATGAAAGGCATCTCTAGAGCATGAACCGACACTTCTTAGATCCGTTTGATTTGACCCACAATACATATTGCGCCAAATAAATGTCTCATATATACTAAGCCCCTCCATAATGATGGGCTCTTCAGCTCTTCACTTGGTCTAGTTTAGATTGAGACCAAGAGACTCAATAGAAGCACAAGCCATTCAGCCTAACTGGAATTGAGTCCAAGAGAATCAACAGAGGCACAAGGCATGTCGCCTCGCTCAAATTGAGTCCCACAGGCTTAATAAAAGCACAAAGACTTCAAGGCATGCCAATGCTACTTCAAGAAGCTAGGCACAAAAAGATGGAGCATGCACAATATAAAAGCCATACAAAATATAGAAGAAAAGTTGTTCATTATAAAGTTGGATACTTAATTACCTAAAAAATGAGTGGAAGGCAAAAAGGCCTGCAACCCTACTAGGTTAGATCGCTTCTTCTATCTGCTTAGCCAAGTTAGCCCTTGGAGCGGCCTCCTTGGTCATTTCATCAGCCTTTCCCTCATCGACCTGGTCGGCGGTATCCCCTATGGTCTCCTTAACTAGCTCGAATTCCCCCTCAATAGCTTTTTTGGCTTTCCTTTCATCCTCCTTATCCTCAGGGGACTTATTGCTCCCCTATTCTCCATCCTCATCTTATTTCTCTCTGCTAGCAACTGTTGCTAGATCATCTCTTGGAGCAAATTTGGAGAAGTCTAGGCTGGGGTAATCCTTCTAGGCATGCTTCTTGAAGTCATCAAATCATCCACATAGTATTCGAAAAGCTTCTCTTTGATGTCCTTGGAGTCCAAATACTTCTTCACAACGGCTTCTCTAGTAGACTTAATTTCAAGCTCTTTCTTTTCTAGCATTAAGGAGAAATCATTTTTTGAGAAAGAGCTTTTTCTCCTCTTCAAGGTCCTTATTCCTCATAGACAGCTCAGTGGCCTCCGCCGTGGAATTATTCAGTTGTTTCAATAGCTCGTTCTTAGCGTTTAAAGATTTATCCCACTCCTCTATATCAGAGAAGTGGGCCAGAGTCTTTTCAACATCCTTCATCAGCCTCAAAATATTTTTTTGAGCCATTATTAGCTCGACATCTCTTGTTTCTAGCTAAGAATGGAGGGCCTCAAACTGCTCCTCGGAGGCCTTCTTCTCGCCAAGAGTAGTATAGGAAAGGTTGGTTGTGAGGAAGACAAGCTTAAGAAGGAATGAAGGAAGGAATGAAGAATGGAGTAAAAATAAAATGAGGTAAGCAAAAAATATGAGAGCCTTATCTTCCCAATGGTTATGTCCAGATTCTTGGTCACCTATGAACAAACTCGTGGAGCCTAGTCATATCCTCCTTTACATTGTTGAGGAGGGTCATTTGGGGGGGGGGGGGGGGAAGGGGTTATAAAAGTTTGACTTTTCTCCTTAGCCACCTTGGAGACTTTTGCCTTGCCCTTGCCCTTGTCTTTTGGAGGAGCAGGGGACGTTTCCACCAAGGGGACCTTCAACAGGGGCCATCCACTTAGTAAGTTGTCATGAGATTGAGTCATTTCTCTAGAACAACCTTGGAAACAGAAGGAGTCACTAGCAGGATGGTAGAGCTCGAGGATGCTCCTTTACCCCTAGAGGGAGTCCCCCTTGCGTTGAGGTGAGCTGACATCAAAAGTCCTCCATGTAAAAACCTAGGAAAAAAATTTTAACTTTTTCGAAAAAAGGGCAAAATGGTAATTTATCACTATAATGCGGGTTTAAAATTCATATTTTTCTAGAGCTCGGATGATGCAATGGACCTCATTGTTGGATTCGTATCATGAAATTGAGCTGTCCTGTCAATTTTCGTCGAATTCAAAGATAATCAGATTTTATACGTTTTACGAGATAATTGGGTGACAAATGACCTTTCAAAGGTCTCCAAAAATAAAATTTATAAAATTTTTTTATAATTGAATAAAATTTTAAATAAAATTAATTTAAACTTAAATCGGGATGAAATGAATCATTTCGGGAAGAAAAATAGACCCGAAAGTAAGAAATATGCGGTGCGACGTGGACCGCACATTTGAGACTATAAATATCAACTAATATGATTTTTTTGAGAGATATTTCTGCTGAAACCAGTGGGTTTGCTGGTCTGAACGTTGGAGAGAAAAAAAGAAAGAAAAAAGTGAGATTTCAAAGTTTCTCCCTTCAATTCACGGAGTTCTGTCGGTCGGAATCCTTCGGACCAAGAGTTAAAGTCGATCTCCTCGATGAGAGCTACGCATACGTACCAAAAAGATCTGATTTTACCAAAGATCCAAAGACGAAATTTTGGAGAAATCAAAACTTTGGGCTTGAATCGTGTTCTTGAAGCTTCATACGAGTGTTTTATGCTTCAAGAAGTATGGTTCCCTCCTACTTGGGTTTATTTTTATCCTATGATGTTCATATGGAAAGAGGTAGGCATGTAGAATGTGTATACCACTTGTCTATGGTTATGGAAATGGGAAAATAGGTGTAGAATTGGTTTGATTCAAGTTCTACTTTGAATTTGATATGTGGAAGTACTTGTGTAATTTCTTGGTGATGAAAATTATGTGTGGTTTAATATGTAGTAAAATGAGTGTGTTTAACTCATAAATCAGTGTGTGTGTGTGTGTGTTCAACTTCTAGCTTGAATTTGATATGTGGAAGTACTTGTGTAATTTCTTGGTGATGGAAATTATGTGTGCTTTAATATGTAATAAAGTGAGTGTGTTTAACTCATAAATCAGTGTGTTTGTGTGTGTTCAACTTCTACCTTGATTTTGATATGTGGGAGTTACTTATGTAATCCCTTGAAAAATTGGTTTATGTGGCCATGTTATATGTTTATATTATGTCTTGTAATTAAGTGTGATTGACATGAAATTGTGAAATGTCATACTTGAGTCTTGTGTTGGGAATAAATGTTGATACATGCTAGTTGATGTATTGACATGATAATGAATTTTGGTGATTATATGCATTTAATATAAATTGTCATGGAACATGTAGACATGTGGTTGAATTGTTCATTTGACATTATTGCATTTTGGGCATGGTGTTGGACAATACTCATTCAATGGGTAGACATGTGGTTGAATTCATGGGCTTTATGCGTGAGTGTGGGAGTGTGGGTGCATGGTTTAATCAAACATCATACTTGGTGCTTGATGGGTGGGCTCGAAAAAGTTGAATTGAAGATCCAACTGAGTCACACGATTACATGTATGAAAAACTTGTGTCGAGTATAGCAAGAAGGGCTAGATTCTCCATCGGGTGCAAAATTCGGCTACTTGGTTCACACATTTCCCTAAGGTGAAATTTTGGAAAAGTGTGATGGTGTACGGAATCGGCGGTTGTGATACCAAAATCCGTTGTCCAACAAAGACACAAGATTTTGTTTTATAAAACACTCATTCAATGGGTAACATCCATCAATGATTTGGTTTTATAAAAACATAACTTTTATTTCAAACAATCATTGGATAGATTTTCGTCAAATGACGATTTCATTGCACAAGTACATTGCCTTGTGTTGTGGCAGTCGGTGAAGACTCGGGTTAAAGTGCATGAGTGAGTCTTATCTCATTTCATGGCATTATATAAAATTCCTATCATTTGATGTATATGCTTGATTGGAATGTTTGAATTATTGATTGGTTGCATTGTGAACATTTCATATGCATCTAGATTGAGGAGTAGCCTCTGCAGGAGATACTCTATTGAGCGTAGCTCACCCTATACGGGAAAAAAATTTCAGGTGGGGGATACACGCCGTTAGACGGTGCTCATTCAGGACCCCAGTGATGAAGAAAGGCCAACTTGTGACTTTTAGTTTTTTTTTTGTAAAACTTTTGCTAAGTTAGTTTTTGGACATGCAATGTATGTAAAAGAATTATAATTTTAAATTTGTATTAACTATGTTTAATGCATAAATTCATGATGTAGGAGTATGTATTGATGTATATTGAACCTTGGATGGGTCCTGTGATTAAATGTTGTCATAAGAATATGGATAAATGGACTCGGTGTTGTCAATGTTGTATATTAGACCTCAGATGGGTCATGTGATTGTATAGTGCACAGGTTGTGTTTTGGGTAGAGCTCTTCGTACAAAAGAGACTCTGCTCGAATTTCGTTAAAATTAAGGACCCCAATATTTGGGATGTCACATATTCCGCGGGTTGATGAGTGATCAACGGGGTGACAAAGGACCCCCGGTTGTTTGGGGCGTCACACTCCAAGCCGCAATCTCTTGAAAATTTATCTTGTCAACTGGCTTAAGGAGCCATGACTTAAAAAAATGAAAATGAATGAAAAATGAATCAAAGTATGCCAAAGCTAGAGCAAGAATTGTAGTAGGATATAACCGTACCCTTAGAAGAGGAGGTTGCTAGAGTTGGAGGATTGGAGGCAATGGGTGGAGGGCATAGCTAACACTTAAAGAGTGCTTGGTCATTACAAGATTGGAGAAATCTTTGGTAGGGGTAGTTAAGAGTTTTGTTGACCTATAGCTTTAGTTTAGGAGGCAAAAGATTCGATTTACTAGTATTTCAAGAAAGCAAAAGATGGAAAATTCAATGAAGCAACATATTGAATAACACCAAAGAAAATCTACTTACGAAGAGAAGGGTAGGAGCTCCCAATAAACGAGGGACTAAAAAGGGTATGCCAGATACGACCTCCGATGACCCAAATTCCCAGAGACGAAGAAAAACTTGCCTTTGTACTCTTTCATGTTTGATGAGTAGCCCGTCAAGAGGCTTGCTCCTTCTCGCTTTGAAAAGTAAAACCACCCCAAGCCTTACCTAGAGCAAGGGGTGAGTTTATAGCAGTGCATAAGCTCGATGAGGGTAGGTCGTACACCGATTTTATTGACCCTAGTGATTGTTTGTTTCCGTTGTATTCCCAATTATCCCCAGAAGAACCCTCGATCTGTATATAGCTTATGTAAGTGGGTGAGTGTCACTCTCACTCGGTTTCAATGCAAGCAATGGGAAAAACGGATGTGTGGTGGAATAAAGTGTATGCGTGTGTGTGTGTGTGTAAACAAAAGTGCTCCCCAAGCGCAGAGAGACTTTTGAGTGTCATGTCTTACTTGGAAATTATATGTCAATGTCGTCTCCTCAGGGAAGGAGGTGAATCGTGTTAAAGGTGATTTTGGTAAAATGGGTAAAGTGTAAAAATTTTGTTGTTTGAGTTTGGTTTGTGATTGTATCTTGATGGAATTGAAATGGGACAAGTGTTGGTTAATCCAAAGGGGTTATTCCCATGGGAATACCAACTTAACTCGAGATCTTCCTCCAATGGTGCCTAGATGTTTGATTGATTCGTAGGAAGCGCGTGACTAGGATGGAGGTAAGGATTCAAGCATATCCCGTGACAATGCCTACGGTGTATCAAGAACTTACAACCATGTGCACACTCAACCTAGTCAAACCAAATCAACATACACTACGAGGAGGAAATAAAATGAGTTGAAATAGCATACCCAAGAGGAGGTCTCCCTTGGATTAGCCAACTTAAGAACTTGGCTACTCATACTTAAAGTAAAGACAATAATGTAATGGAAAGACATTGTAAAGGAATGAAAATTTGAACTAAGTTAATGCAAGAAAACATAAACTATAGGAAAGTTCATTTAATACCCATCTTAAATCTTAAAAATGAAGAAAAAAAAGAAAATGAAGAACTTGAATGCATTAATTGTGAAATCCAAAATAAAAAACTAAACTTGAAATGTGCTTGTAATAAATGACATTAAAGACAATAAAGGAAGCTTACATGATCCTTAAAAGAGATTACAAGTGAAATGGATGAAAGAAATGTAAAAATCTCAAGCTTTCTCTCTCTAACTATGTCTTCTACCTAGAGCTTATCTATCTACAATGTAATACATTCAGAATAATACATAATGAATCCCTATTTTCATCCAAAGCGAGCTCCTTAGGTGTGTGACAGGCCTTCCATCAAGAGGGGACTGATTGGATGGAATGTTGCAGGCTAGGACAAGCATAGTCTTCCCCTCTCTTTTTCTTGCTCTTCTTTCTCCTCCTCGTTAATGCCAAGGCCTTCAAAGTCCAACTAGAGGTGAGGGGAGGCTTGTAGATGTGTAAGGGATGTTAGGGGACCTATTGGATAAGTGTAAGTGGAACCCCCAAATGGCAGAGCTTGAGTTGTAGGCTGTTTGGACAAACTAGGCAAAACATTCTGAGAGGTCGATACAAACTTGGAACAGTTAAATGAGCATTCCAGTGAGCAAAACCTTTAGCCTTCCAAAAGGTTCATTCCAGTAGATAAAATATTCCGAAAGGTTTTGGCAGTGAAATGACAGACCAAGGCAAAACCTTCCGAAAGGTTTTCAACCAACTTGAATTTTTCTTGGCTTCTTCACCTTCCAAACCTTCCTTTAAGCCCTTCCCTTGTCTTCATTGACTTCAAACACTTCAATGGGGACCTAACTCAAACCATTTACATCGTTTTACTTGCATCTTCACAAACTCCAACAATGAGAGGATTAAAAGCATTTCTCCCAATTTCACGACAA